GGGATGGAGGAGGGAGGGAGGAGGAGGGAGGAGGGGGCGAGACTCGGCAGGAAGGAAAGGGGTACACGCCGGTCGTTGAAAGTAGGTGTTTTTGGACTCCCAGAGCCCAATCTACCTTTGGCGCCTTCCTACTTCAAGGATCGACCAGCTTCCTCCTTCCCTCCTCTTCCGGGGGCGGGCGGAAGCCCAATCTGCTTCCAACGCCTTCCTACTTCACGTGTCTCCCCGCCTCTTTCGACCGGCGGGTACGCCATGGATTGGTTCCTGCGTGCTCGGGCTCCCCAGGCCCTCGCGCCCCTCCCGAGCCGTCAGAGCGCGGCTGAGGAGGAAAAGTTGGCCCCATGGGGGGGGGGGGCCCGGGGGTCCAGAGCCCCTCGCGTCGAGGCGGAAGTCACGACGCGAGGTTTCCGTGCTGTTTTCGGCACCTGGGGCCCCCAGGACCGTCAGGGCACCAGCCGGGGCGTAGACTTGTGCTGGGAAAGGGGTCGGGACCTCGGGGGGTCCACGTTGCAAAGAAATCGCGGCGTCGAGGGTATGGTTATGCCAGGGTGCGGCTTGCGATCGGCACCGTTGGGGCCTGGGGAGCACGAGAATGTCCCCGTCGGGCCCCCTCGGGGCGCGGCGGAGGGCTCTGTCGAGGTCCTCGCCCACCCCCCAGGGTGCCCCCCAGGGTGCTGGTTGCAAACCGCACCCTTTGCAAATTACACCCTTCGGAGTCGCCGACAGATCTCCGACGGCATGATTTGTTCAATCTGGGCGTGCATCCTCGATCTCGGCCCGTTATCGGGCGCTGGGGCCGTCAGACACGGATCCAGGACGAAGAAACAACCCCAGGGAAGGGGCCGGAAGAGATCTGGGAATGAAAAATATCGGGAGATGTCGGAAGATGTCGGGAGATGTCGGGAGATGTCGGAAGATGTCGGGAAGGGGCGGATTGAAAAAGTCATGTCGGAAGATGCTTGGGACCGCATCGCCGAAGCATTGGCGATGCAGCCCGTTCCCGAGCACGATTCCCTCCGTTCCGCCGTCGCCGTTTTCGGTAGCAAGGCATGGGAGCCTTGTATACCCTTTTAATGCAGTCACTAGCGTCGATTAGCGCCTGGGAGTCGATGAGATAGCGCCGATTTAGCGTCAGCTAGCGTCGGTGAGCGTCGATTGGCGTCGATTTGGCGTCGATCAGCGTCGATTTAGCGTCGACCGGCGTCGATCCGCAAGGGCCGACAAGATGGTATGGGAGGCTCCCATGATGGGGGCCCTTGCCGGGCCGCAGGACCGTCAAAAAACGATTCAGGATGAAAAACCGGTCCTGGGCAATGGGTCGAGACTCCTGGGGGTCGACGTCATGAAAAAATCATGACGTCGTGGGTATGGGATTCCAGGTCGATGTTTGTCCCCGCTGGGCCAGATCCCCGACCCACGTCGCACCCGCACAAAGGCCAAGGCCGACGAGAGCAGCAGCAGCAACCAGAAGCGCGAGGAGGCAAAGAGGACCTGTGAGAAGCCGCACGGTAGCAGCATCTGGCTGACGTCGATCCTCGTAGTTGCTACAGCCTTGGGTGCCGAGCTGCTCCGGGAGCTGCGGGTGCAGGGCGACCCGTACCCCAGCGATGCCATGAGCAACGAGGAGTTCACGGAGCTCTTCGACAGAATCTTCGCAGCTGGCTCGAGGTGGATCCACGAACAGAAGGCCAGCCCGGTGTACTTCTCCTCCATCGATGCCGCCGGCCGCTTCGGGCCGACCCGCAACATGAAAGGAGGGCCGAAGATCTGCAAGGAGATCGGGCAGAACAAGCTGATCTCCGCCTACGGGATCAAGAACCGGTCCAGATTCTCGAAGCGGGGCGCCACGCCGCCCGCGGCCATGACCCGCCCGTTGCTGAGCCTGCTGACGCCGCCCGTCATGAGGGTCCTCGTGCCGAAGGCCTGCGCCAAGAAGTCGGCGGACCCACTCGCGGGGTGGTTCTTGCGGCCCGTCAACAAGTACAAGCTGTGGTACCTCGGCTGGCAGGGGGCCGTCCCCGTCTACCACAGCGCCACCGGCGCCTTCGTCGCGGCCTATGCGACCTCGGGCGCGACCGGCGACCAGGACGAGGGCGCTGTGGAGGTAGGCCTCGCTGCCGCCGGCCTGAAGCGCGTGGGCGGCCGGTGGTTGTGGACCAGCCGAGGCGAGGCTGCGGCGAAGGGCGGCAGACTCCCCAGACCTCCGACGCCGTGCTTATCTCGGTGCCGACGCTGACCCTTGGGGTCCGCCTGAAGACCCTCAGATCCAGGCGTTGCAATGAGGTCGTGCCGGCCGGTTTCTCGCCCCTCTAGGCCCCAGGATTAAGTCGGGCGTGTCCCCCTACAGGGGGATTTTCGCCGAAAAATATGCGTTGTTTTTCTTTACAAAAAAGTCCCCACACTATTTTTGGATCTTTTTAAAATCATTTTGGGGGTACTTTTTTGTTTTTCGTCGAAAATCCCCCTGTAGGGGGACAGGCCCGACTTAACCCCAGGAGGCCGTCTCCCAACCCCGGGACCGTTAGAAGACGACTCGGGATGGCAGGCCAGCCCTGGGAAAATGGCCGCAGCCCAGGAGGCTGGCGTCACGAAAAAATCGGAGCGCTGGAGGACGAGGGAGGCCCTGCTTTGGCCCCGGGGCACTCGAGCAACGAGCCGGGGCGGAGAGGGGACGAGCCTCGGGGAAGCGGTCGAGGCTTCGACGTCGGAGGTCTGGGCCTTCGGCGGCGACGAAGAGGAGCCGCAGCCTGGCACGCGGCCAGTGCCGCTGGTCACGGCCCGCGGCCCGTTCACCGGCGACGGGCCAGCAAACCTTGCCGACTGGGGGCTCGCGGGCGCGCTGGGCGGGGCCCTGTCCGTCATGCTCACGCTGAGGATGGACGAGCTCAAGATGTGGTCGCGCGTGTTCGACTTCTCCCCGAAGCCGGACTTCGACAGCATCACGGTCGGCAACCCCGAGCTCTCCCCCGACCTCTACTTCGCCATTCGCCGGAAGTCTGATTACAAAACATACACATACACATAAGTCGTCGCAGCTCCGCGCGTACTTCTTGGATCGCCGCTGGGCCCCCGCTGCCGGCACCTCCGGCGCCGCCGCTAGGGAGGAGGGGGGACGCCCAGGGGGTGGCCCAGCGCCGATCCAAGAGATCCGCGAGGACCTCCGAAAGGAAAGGCTGTGCTGACGCAACTCTTCCTCCCTCGCAGGAAAGGCCACGGCACGTCTGTGGTCGTGAGGGAGTTCTTCAACCTTGGGCAGGAGGTGACCGCGCTGTTCACGGTCAGCGAGGATCAAGCAGTGGCGAAGCGTCCTGGCTCGCCTATAGCCCCACCAAACAATGTTCTAAGAACCTTTTGTGGTTTCCACGAAATGTTCTTAGAACATTTCTGGCGGAGATTGTCTTGTTTTAACACATCGGGCTTATGTTCTAAGAACATTTTTTTTGTTATTAGAACATCTCTGGGTTCTAGGAACATTTCGTGATATGATCATAGAAATGCCGGGGCGGTCGGTCCCTGCTCAAGAGGAGGGGCACATGAAGGTCTGGGCGGACGGCGAGCTGGTCGGGGAGCATCCCGCGGGGCACGCGCCGCGGCCTGTCCCCAGAGGCCACCTCACCATCGCGGGTCACCACGCGTACCCAGACCAGGGCTTCCAGGGATCGATCGAGAACGTGACGGTCTGGGGCGAGGAGGTCTCGTGGGAGGTGGCCACCAGCGCCGAGCCCAAGCCTGCCGCGGCGCGAGCGGCTGGCAAGGGCCGCGGATGAGGCCGGGATCGTGTTCTAGAGCGCGGTCTGACCAGAGTCTCGTGGTGGCGACGATCGCCACCGCGGAGCCCCCAGACAGGCGGAAACCGTCAAAGTCCCATAGAGGCGGCGACGGCGCCAAAAGCCTCGAAGATCTTCCTCCCCCCCTCGTCCTTCTTGATCCGCATCGTCGATCCTGAGTCCTCGATCCTCGGCAAGGACGAAACGAAGACGACGACGCTCACGACGACGACGACGACGACGACGACGACGACGACGACGACGACGGCGACGGCGACCGCGACGGCGCCGACGCGTACGACGCGAAGCTGGGGGGCAGGTTTATGTCGGGCGTGTCCCCCTACAGGGGGATTTTCGACGAAAATTAAAAAATGTCCCGAAAATGCTCCAAAAAGGTAAACAAATATTCAAAACATCGTCCCCAGACTATGTTTGGATCATTTTTTGATTATGTTTGGGATATTTTTTATGTTTCGTCGAGAATCCCCCTGTAGGGGGACAGGCCCGACTTCAGAGCAGGTATGGCTGCAGCACCTCCTCCCGCCTCTCCTCCTCCCCTCCTCCTCCCTCCCTCCTCCTCCTCTCGCCTCCTCCTCTCTCCTCCCGCCTCCTCCTCCTCCTCCTCCTCCTCTCCTCCTCCTCCTCCCTTCCCCTCCTCCTCCCCCCTCCTCCTCCTCCTCCTCCTCCTCCTCCTCCTCCTCCTCCTCCCCAGGGTATGGCTGCGGCACCTCCTCCCGCCTCTTCCTCCTCCCCCTCGCCCTCCTCCCCCCCTCGCCGTGCCGTGGGCTTTCCGAGTCGGGACGTCGGCTCGAGCCCCCTGCCCGCTGTCGGAGGAGCAGCACAGTGCTACTCGAGACATCCGAGGAGATATCTCAGGAGGGAAAAAACACACAGACACAATTATCAATCGTCGATTCCCCAGAAAATATAGGAAAATGTGGGAAATAGGGGGGAAGACCAAAGCCTAGAGAATATGGGAAAAGATGGGGAATCTGTTTATTTGTGTGTATTTATTTGTGTGTCCCAGGGCTCCTTCAATATCGGCACTTCAGGTGGCAGTCCAGTCCCCCCCCATTCGCCTATGCACCCCGCAACGATCATCATGATCGAAGGGGGTGGGAACAGAGGTGGCCAGTGGGGGTCCCTGGCCCCCACCAGGCTCCACCCACCCGCCGCCCCTCCCTTGAGGGGCCGAGATTTCGGGACGTGGTGGCCCTGCGGCCACGGCTGCTGGGAGCCTCTTCTGGGCCTCGAGTATCTCATCACGAGGTTCCAGCAGGCGTCGCGTCGTCCGTCGCCCGCGCCGTCGTCGTCGGTCTGCGTCGCCCCTCCCCGGCCTCGCGCCCCCCGTGACTGGGCGCGCACGGGGCCAGCCCAGAGTCCCAGAGTCTCCCCTCCCGCCTCCGCCCTCCACTTGCCGGGCGAGCCCGAGGTGCCCCCCGCGTGACGAGCGGACGGACAGGAAGCGAATCGAGGTTGATCCGCTGAGGGTGCCCGCATTGGCTTGGAGGTGGCTTCGGCTGTGCCAGAGCCTTAGATTGGAGTGTGATTGGCAGGTCGAACCTTCCGAATCAAGGGTATCCCTTGTGTCCTGTGTATGACGTGTCATGTCTGCTGCACTTCAGACGCCAAGGTACCCTGGGTCAGAGGCCGTGTTGCCCTCGGAAGGGTCTCGTGTGCATTCTCGCGTGCCCTCTCTAGTCAAGCTCGACCGTGCTCGAGGTGGGTGCTTCCTCTGTGGCGAGTCTGCTCCGCTCCCGCTCCGCTCCCTGCCTCCTCTTCCGAGTCACCCTCCCTGTAGTGGCTCTGGTCCAGAGTTCTCTTCGTGCTGTCGGGGAACTGGCCCATGACCAGAAGGCGTGCAGAGGTGGGTGCGTTAGATGGCTCGCACGAGGAAGTCGTGCGCTGGCGGAGATCGGTTCCAAAGGTGGGTCTTCAGCATGCGCCTCGGCATGCATGCTCATGTTTTCGCATGCGTACACGCAGCCAGGGGGGGATCTGGGTGTCTTACAAGCGACCAGCGGATTCTTCACATGATAACATTGCGTGCTCGGAGAGGGTGGTGACAAACATGAGTCTGGCACGTGTGCGCGTATCTTCGAGTGCGTAGGCGCCAGGGGGGATGCCGAAAATGCGGCCAGAGGATTCTGCACGCGTGACAACACGTGTGCGACGGGCTTGGTGTTGAGCATGCGTCTGTCACATGTGTTGGCACTTGCTTTGACACGTGTAGGCGCCAACGAGGGTGATGATTCGAACATGCGGCCAGCGGATTTTTCTTACGTGCCAAACTTGCGCGGAGGGGGTGGTGTCCAGCATGCGTCTGACGCGTGTAAATTGGCATGTTGTTCCACGTGTGTAGGCGGCAAGGGTGGATGTCGAACGTGTGCGGAGAAGGCCGTGTCGAACATGCGTCTGGCAAGTGTGCAGCTGGCACGTGTTATCACATGTGTGGGCGAGGAGGGATGTCGAACACGCTGCCGGCAGATTCTTCACGACGATTGCGGAGGGGATGTTATCGAACATGCGATTGGCGCATGTGCATGTAATACGTGGTTTCATTTGTGTAGACGCAAAGAGGGGGGTCGAACACGCTGCCAGCAGACCTTTCTGCGTAGCAGTACGTGCGCCGAGGACGTTGTCGAACATGCGCCTGACACGTGTGCAGTTAGCATGTGCATTCACACATGGAGGTGTCAGGGAGGATGGGTCAGCCATGCTGCCAGTGGATTCTTCACACGCAAGTAACTGCGGGAGGAGGGAGAGATCTCTCAGGAGGGAAAAAAGCACACAGACACAATTAATCGTCGACTCCCAGAAAAATATGGGAAGCTATGGGAAGTGGAGGGGAAGACGAAAATGCCAAAAGTATCGAAAAGTAGGGGGAATCCTGTTATGTGTGTATTCCCATGTGTGTGTAAGTGTGTGTAGGTGTGTGTAAGTGTGTGTGTGTAAGTGTGTGTGTGTGTGTGTAAGTGTGTGTGTGCGTGTGTGTGTGTGTTGTGTGTAAGTGTGTGTTGTGTGTGTGTGCGTGTTTGTGTGCGCGTGTGTGTGTGCGTGTGTGCGTGTGTGCGTGTGTGCGTGTGTGCGTGTGTGCGTGTGTGCGTGTGTGCGTGTGTGCGTGTGTGTTGTGTGTAAGTGTGTGTTGTGTGTACGTGTGTGTGTGTGTGTGCGTGTGTGTGCGTGTGCGTGTGTGCGTGTGTGCGTGTGTGCGTGTGTGTGTGTGTGTGCGTTTGTGTGCGTGTGTTTGTGTGCGTGTGTGTGTGTGTGCGTGTGTTTGTGTGTGTGTGTGCGCGTGCGCCCCTGGGCCCCCGCAGCGTCGAGCGTGCGTCTGGAGCGTGTGCCTTCGGCGCGTGCCTCGACGCCGTGCGGGCGCCGAGGGGCCACGGAGTGCCCACGAGGCGCCCGCGGCCGCCCAAGCGGGCCAAACCTTTCCGGTAGACCTCCAGCTAAGTGTCTACAGTCTAAAAGCCTTGCTCTTGCGTCCTTGAGGTTTTCGTCGTCCGCCGCCCCAAACATCCCAGCTTCGGCTTCCCCAAGGGTCTTACGGCCGAACCTTTCTGTAGACCTCCAGCTAAAAGTGTCCAAGACCAGGACCGACTAACAAGCATCAGGAGGGGAAGAAACACACAGACACAATGAATCGTCGATTCCCCAGAAAATATGGGAAAATATGGGCGTGGGGGGGAAGACAGAGACCCAGAACATATGGGAAAATATGGGAAATAATTTT